AACATCCTGAAGAATAGCTTAGGGCTTTAAGTCTACAAATTGCCACAGAAGAGGTTAAAGGTTCTGGATGAAATCATAAAGAAGTAAATAGTCAGGTCCTGCCAACTGAATGACCGATTCAATCACAGAATCTCAGAATCCCTTTGATGTCATAATAGTTATTTATACATAGAATCATAGAATGGTTAGGGTTGGAAGGGACCTTAAAGATCATCTCATTCTAGCCCTCCAAAAGACCAGGCTGCTCAAAGCCCCATTGAACTTGGCCTTGAAATAAAGCAACTAAAAATGTGTGCTAGGTACTTCCTTACTGCTTCTGCTGTCTCTCTGATGACTTTGACAGTGGGTGACATAGAAGGTAGGATCCAGAATGCAGGTCTCCCTTCAGGAAAGCACATGTTACTATCCTTGGATATCTGTTATAATATCTGAATATTGTTTATGAAATACCAGCAAAATGTCCCCAGTGGAAAAAGAGTGGATCCTGGTTTGATCAAGACCTCCACAGTGTAAATCAAACAGACTGTATGATCAGACCTGTGATACACCCCGTTACACTTCTACCACAAATTAGCTTTGATGCTTTCTTTAGGAGAAAGAAACCGATTAGATAGATGGAGTCATTAAAAAGCTTTATGGAGGAAATATGTTTCCAAGAGACCCTTACAAAAGGAACGGATAGTGAAGAAAAATTTACAAGGAATGAGAATGAATTTGCACCAAGAGGAGGAACTTGGAAAAGCTCCAGAGTGAACAACTGTGTTTAGAAGAAAGCAGTGAACATGGAGCAGTGATACACTGGTTCTTACTGCTCCCAATTTACCGTTTTTAACAGAAATCAGTCTGTATATAGACATGGAGACATGTTCTGATAGAATTTTACTAAATATTATAGAAACCAAGAAGGGGTGAAAAAACCAAAGGGTCTTCAGTGATGAGGAAAGAGGTAAACTGGAGTCAAGCCTGAGAGAAGAGAATGGAAGGGAAGGTGATCAATGACTTGGTGCTAGTTTGATAAACTGCAGTCTGAGTTTCAGGTTTTTGCAAGGTCATAGATTTTTGTGTGTGAGATCTTGGCTTAGTCTCTTTGTGACTGATCTGATAAATGGAACTAAGTCCCAGAGTCTGATCCTGAAAAGCCTTGCTAAGCTGCTAAAGTCTAGAGGAAGTTAGTTAGCGTTTTTTAATCCTGCGGATCCCTGAGCCTCTAGACTTGATGGCTTCCCATGCTCGAGTTCTATTGTTGACAGGACTGAATGGTTCAGAATCTAAACCTGAATAAGATTCAGGAATTACATTTTTTTTTAATACAAGTCAACATCCAATGTACGCAAAGTACATCCAATACATCAACTGCACAGGGGAATGCCCGAAACACACTACTACTTTCTTTTGTGATGAGAGAGAACAGACACTTGGAGACCAGCCTGACAGTCATCTGCTCACTCTCTCTATGGTGAAATGAATAGTGAGGCATGACTTCAGAGGAAGAGGCAGATGATCCCATCTTCCTAGAAGGACTTACACCTGGGGGTTAAAGCTGACCCTTTGCTTCAGATATTAAAGTAATACTGAAGTCAGTAGAAGGGACATCAGCCATTGTGAAGGAAGACATGGACATCATTTCCCCAGTAACGTCCTTGGTAGTGCAAAAATATTTTTTCCCCACTGGCTTAATAAAATTGCCTCCATCTGCTTCCTTGGGTGATCAGTGCTCATCTGGAATTTTATCACTGTCCTTTGTTGAGGATAATTTCATTGTTTCACATTTATAGAGGCAAGGTAATAGCCTCAGATTTACATAGAGCTAATTTCTTTCTTTGTGAGTGGGTTCTACAGGATGTGAGCAATTAAGCTTCTGTGGGAGGATACAGGAAACATGATTAATGGATCAAACAGACACCAGCTAAGGGAAGTGGGTATAATACCAAGGGAGATAATGCTCCATTTCATAATAGTTATGCAAATACGCCAAATGTTGGAGAATTCAATTAATATTTGACAAATGGTTTTGCTGTGATGCAGAGTAAACACATACTGGGGACAAAATAAAGCTCTACTGCACATTATCTGTTAGCTTCCTCTCGCGCAGGCTGGGATGGCTGGTCAGGCATCTCATTCCACTGCAGGTGGCAGAGAACAGCTAGGCACGAATCACTGCCAGACAGTGGTATTGTTGGGATGAAAAAGACTGACCAAGGTTGAATTCTATGCACGCAAGGCCAGTCAGTGCTTGCCAGAGTGCTCAGGTCTATTGCTCAGTCCTCTGCTAAGTGTGACATTTTATTCTGTGTGAATGAAAAGTAGTTGAAGAATAAAGGAGAGAGAATTAGACAAGGTTGGTGTGTTTGAAATTCTTTTCTTATCTGTAAAAGCAACAGTAGTAGAAAAAATTCTCAAGTAAGAGCAGAATGCCTGAGCTAGTGGAAGACCCTCAAAAACCCTGAGCCTCAGTTACCCAAATATAAATTGATGATAATACTAATCATGTATAAAGGCAATGACTCATTCGGATATTGTAGTGATGGAATTGTACAGGTCTCTAGGTTTACTGAAAACGTATGTTTCTTGTTTGTTTGCTAGCTTTCATATTAGATGCGGTATTTTAATCTCTATTCTAATACCCTGGTTCCCTTACTAAACACTTAATATGAGGTTTTGTTCTGAGAAATCCTGATCCAGAGAAGGGAGGCATTTGAAGCAGCATATTGAAGTGTTTCTGACCTTACAGCCTGGGTACTGGGCTAGTGAAATGAGGCAAGAGCTACGGAGCTGAAGTTTCAAGTATGAAATGCAGGTGTGACCTTCAGTTGCAACTGCGCTATAGCTGGGTATCAGGGCTGTTCCTGTATGCACACCTAGAGCTCTTCAATCGTGAAATCCCTGGGAGCTCCCCAGCCAGTCATCTGCCTCTATGATTTAGACAGATCTGAAACAACGGACTGAAACAATCACCTGAGCCAAGGTGATTGACTGGACTTCTAGCAACCTTCACAGTTAAAATCTGGCTTCCACAGAAGCTCTCCAGTAGGTATTTTGGACATTTCTAGAGATTTCCCCAGACAGCTCCTGCTGTCCCTAAATCAGTTTATGTGCCTACATGTGTTGACTGACATTCTGAGTGGAGAGTGTGGTCAGGAGGCTCCCTTACATGGTTCTTGCTGCAGAACTGACCAAACTTTACATAGGCATTTGTACACAGGTAGTAGAAACTGTTCTTACATATACAAAACAAGTCACATAGGTTCTTTGTGATACTTACGACAGTTAGGAGATGTTTTGTATGGAGTTTAAGATCCCCTATAGGAATGGATCATGTATGTGCTGGAGCACCACTGGCCAGTTAAATTATCTGAGAATTGAGCAAAACAGTGGTTTAAGAAGCTGGATTCCATGATCCAGTTATGGTGCTGTTCCTTGCAATGGTCACTCCATTGCCATCTCAACAATCGACCATCCTGTTTGGGAGATCTAATTCTCCATGCAAGCATTACCCTGTGCCAAGGTCTCAAGAAACTATTTCTTTTTAGCCAACACTGAGTGTGCAAACACATCCTGGGCTGTTAAGGCATTCCGTACCTTGCAGCCAGAAGGAGTTCTAGGGACATTCCTTCAGTGCCTAAAGACAGGAAGTTGGGATGATGCAACCAGGAATGACTAAGTAAGCTATAAACTTGTATCATACAAGGACTGTGTTTTTTTCAGTGTAAAGCATGGCAGCCAAGTTACCCTATTTGAAAGTGCTATTACTGTTGCTTCTTTAGTGCTGTTGCTTAGTGGTCAAAGCAGTTACCCAGAGCAGTGGAAGTTTGGGGTTGATCCTTAGCCTGCATATGTCCTCTCTAAGGCTAGGAAAGCCTCTCTGAGGCACGTCCTGTGCTGTCTGGGCTGCTGTGCACCCAGGAATGAGACTGGAAGGAAAGCAGACAGGGCAGTGCCAGGCTCTGGAGGAAAGGTGGAGGGACCTGGAAGTCAGGCAAAGATTGAATTCTTCTTGCCTGTACTCTGAAATATCAATACATTTTACATTAGGTAATCATGAGATGAACATTCAAAGCTAATGAGAGAGTTGAGACACCAAGTTAGGCTTGTCCTTCAGCCATTACATTCCTCTAGAAAGAATGAGCCCTGTTCGATTAGGCCATTACAGATGGGATAAGGCTCTGTGCTATGTATCCTGGGTGGGCAGATGCTCTAAAGTCCCGGAAAAGAGAAGTGCTCAGACATGTTATCTTCAGGATTTCATACTGCCCAGCCACCAAGCCCTTGTGTGGCATTCTTGGCTACCCTGGGAAGCGTCTGATTCTTTCCTTTGAGAACATGGACCTTACATACGTAGTTTCAGTTCTTTGATTCACCTTGTTGAGACCAGGCTTTGTGATGCCTGCAAGAGCACAAACAGGCACTCTGGATCTCATCCTTTCAGCATTTAAGTGTGCATTTTCCCTTTGCTTTTCACCATGAGCCTTATTTCCTACTTGCAAGGCATGTGCTCATTCATTTTGATTCACTACAGTAAAGTTACAAAATATTAAGAAAATCCTCATCTCTTCTACTAAGCCATGTATTTAAATCAGAGCTAGTAAGTGTTAATGAACATTTTCCAGAGTTTATGATTCCTTTTAAAAAGCAATTTTGCTGTGATCTTGAGTTGTTGCCTATAATAGATGACTTCCTTGTTGTCAGGGCTGATTCTGTCTCAAAATCTATTAATCTAACCCACATGCACACTTCAGTTAAATGTATCTTGGCAGACATCCACCACTGGAATCAGTGTGTCTTTCTAATTGGACATAAAATTCATAGGTTTATCATATGATTCTTTGCTGTACAGCGTGTCCAATTAGATTTAATGAGCTCAGTTTCAGGACAAATTGGCCAACCCAGTGCTACTGCTGATTTACAGAGGCTACAGAAAAAGTTACTTTATTGATTTCCTTCCTAAATCAAAACTTCCTAGGAAGTATTGTTGCTTCTTTTCTTTTTAGCGCATGAATATACAAAAGCCTTATTTTGGAATGAAAATGTTTCCCCAGTGTGTAATTTCCAATGATTGTTGTAATATCTTTGTTTTTTCTTGCAAATGTTTTGGCAACAAAGATAAGTCTAGCATATTCTTATATCATGTTAATAAAACCAAGGTAAGTAGCATGATGACTGAGGAGCCAGTAGCAATGTAGCTATCATAGCATGAATTGAACAAGCCAGCTGGAAATCCCATATAAATACTTGGCAGCTGGTGCCTAAGCTACTCCAGCAACACTGCCAGCTCAAGAGTTCAGTGTAAAAACATTCTTGATTAATACAGAGCTGGTTTAACATGTTTTTCTCTGGAACACCGTCATGCTGGCTAGGACAGAAGGAAGCTTTAACCATGTACTAGACCTTGCAAGCTACACAAACCCGAACTGGTCCACAATGGAAAGCTGTGCTCTACAGATGTAATCCAAGAGAACATAGCTGACCCCCTGGAAAGATTACAGCAAGGAGAACAACACAGAGGAAAGATTTCATTTGGCCTCCTCATCACTGCAGCACTAGCAGAAGGGATAACAAAGCAAACTGGTAAGTTGTCAGTTGGAGGCACAGTGCAAAATGTGTTGACACACAGTTGAGAAGAGTGGTATTTGGGGAAAAGAAGGAAGATCCAAACATGAGGCAGTCTTTCACAAGGAAGGGTTCTCTAATACGCTGAAGCTATTTTATGTGGTATCCTTTGGTTTTCTATCTTTCATCTAATGCCAGTGGATGGCTGATGGGAGCTGGTAGGCCAAGGTTCTCTTTCCAATTGCAAGAGCAAGGAGCAGCCCCACTGTCACCCTCTTCTCCCCTGTTTTCAGCTGCCTGGCTTCCTTCTACCTTGTCACCTGCTGATGTGTTTAGGGAAGGCACTTTTCCTAGTGGGATCATTTTAACAGCTGCAAAATGGGAATAATGAACCCATTTTGGAAAAATGCACTGAGAACTATCACCATATGCCCCAGAACAGGAGTGGAAATATTGTTATTGCAGTTTTATTGGTCTCTACTTGCTTTGTGACAGTGTCCCATGCCATGATCACTTCATAAATTGCTAGTTCTGAGTTACTAAGGATTAAACAGTTACATTCCTGTTTGCTTAGACATGTACTAAGGTTTTCCTGCCCTGCTATCCTTGCTGCTTCTTACAGAGACGTTTCTCATTTATATACAGAAATAATGAGACAGAAAAATGTTAAAAGGATTGCTTGAAAGCCACACATCACTTCTGCCAATAGTTATTTATCTGTCCACCATTTTGTCTGTGTGTATTTTATTTTCTCTTAGGGTACATATAACAACAAATTACTTGGCAGAATCGAAGCCATTCATTTTATATTTGTAATGCTCCCTTTTGACTTGTCCATAAACAAGCAGCACAGTGGAGGACGTATGTGCATTTTACACTTTGTAATCTTTTGGTGTTAATTTATTTACGTGCATCTGGTTGCTTTCCTCATAGAACAGACCAGGCTTCCTTACCTAATGAAAGCAGTCATGGGAAAATTGTTTGAGATGTTATAATGAAAGCCAATATATCGTGATGTGTCTTTGGCGGAGTGTGTTAAGCATGAGTACCTTGTGTGTTAACTGTTTCTTTCACCCGCACAGAACGAAGTTTAGAATAACAATAACAATACATTAGCATTCTACAGAGTGAAGTCAAACATTAACTAAATATCCTTGCCAGATCCCCCGAGAAAGAAGCAGCTCATTAACTTCTTTTACAGATGAGGAAACAACATCGGATTAGCATTGAAACTCCACTGGCATCTGTGGAGTTACTCCAGATTTACAGCAGACAAAATAAGACTAATATTAGTCTTCAAAAGAATAAGCCGTTTGCTCCTGCTTATCCAGTCACAAAGCTGCACCCTCAGGATTAGAAACTGAAGACATCCTCATTTCCTTTGCTGTTACAATAAGACTGTCTACTGAAATAGCATCTCTAAACCTTTAGTTAGGGTAATGTAAAGAAGTCCCCACACCACCACAGAAGCTTACATTGTTCTCCCACCGGTGTCTAGAAATAATTGCCCTGTCTAGAAAGGTCTGCATCCGATGGAAATAAATGAATGAGAATAAATTATTTTTATGAACTCCAACTTGTCCAGAAATGTGAATGTTTTTCTGTGTAAAATTTTATAGCAGAAAAGAATAATGGGCTTCCAGAGATCACCAATGAGCAAAGAATGTGAGTTAAAAGCCCTTTTATATGCAAATGCTTCATTATGTTTGGGGGTTTTCTTCTCTTTTTTTCCTCATTTTTTTTGAAAGCAAAAGCACAATGGGACATCAGTTATTTCCATTTACATATGAATACCCAGAATTCAATTTCCACTTACAGTTATTCCAAAGTCCTGGTGGTCCCTGTCAGCATTTGAGGTCTGGAGCAGAGCAGGATTCTGCTGACTTCTCAAGGCAGAGTGCTCTGCAGAAATTGGGGGTGTACACTATTGCTGCAAAACCAGAAAATCTTTTGCAAGGTATATGTTCATTCCCAGGTAAGTGGTGGTAACAGCATTATTCCTGAAGCAGGATGACTTGAAAACACAAATACAACTATCATGGGTTGAATCCATTATAAAAATGCTTAACTGTCAGTTATAATATACTCACTGCAAGTCTGGGAACTAGTGATGAAATTTGGCCTTACACAGAGGATCAGTATGAAGCTTTCTGTATAAGCCCCACTGAAAACAAGGTTGAAGTCCCACTCAGTAACTCCTTGCTCCGAGTGGCCCTTATGCACCAGCCAGAGTTCCCTTCCCATGGCTGAACAGTACCCTAAGAATTCAAACTCCTTGAAATCAGGTGAGAAGGTAACTGTAACTAAATCTTGAGTATTCCAGATGAAATAATATCAGATCTGCTGACTGAAAAACTGCTTTCTGGGTCAGAGACCAAAACTTACAAGCCAGTTCAGTGATATCACTGACACTACACAGATGGAAGTTCATACAGCATCTGGTCTGCTGAAATTAGAACTAATATTCCAATAGGATTTAACAGGCTTCTGAAGATATAAAATACTTGAATGTTTAAAATCTGAAAATCTAAATAGGAAATAAAACATTTACTTCTTCCCAAATTGTTACTCACATGCAACACCTTCCAAAGCTGACTGTATAAGAAAACCAGTTATGCAAGACCTATTTTGAGCCAGAAAATTAAATCCATTCAGATGTTAGCAGATCTCCGGAGATTGTAGTCCATTTCCAAAAATGTGCAGAGATAAGAATGAGAGGTTGAGAAAGCCCTACTAATCCCCCAAATCAAAGGCAGCATTTTAGAAACTATGGAGATGCCTCAGAGATGCCTCCCTAATACAGTTTATCATCAGGTGGGATTTTTCTCTGTCTCATATGGCAGCACTTGAATGCGTGAAAGATGTTGGCAAGTATAACAGCTTTTGTGTGGGAAACTTTGCCTTTGTGAACAGTAAAAACAAGCTTTCTGTACAATAAATTAGAAAACCTATGGATTTCCTGGTTCTTGGACTGTATTACAAAACAGCCCTGAAGGTAAATTGTTTCACTGGCTGATGTTTCATTATTTAAGGTGTATTCACCTTTATTTTTAATTATCTGCACTAGTAAAACACAAAGGGGGATAGATGCTAAAAGCAGAGATACTGAGAATGAAATACGTTCTCTTTAGGGAAAATCTATAACTTACATATGGATCTTCTGTCCTTCTCTGCCTTCTCCCTGACACTGGTCACAGAGTCACAGGGTGACAGTGTTCCTATTCAGGGTTGGTGTATCACCAGATCCACAGCATGAGTAACTTAACCTGGGGGTTACATTCACCCACATTTAAAGCACTCAGCCTCCTGTTGAGCTTGCTTCCAAACAGAGGCTTGTCATAATATAAAGTGACAAGTCAATCTGGGATATGGCAGGATCAGGCCCATCCTCAACCGAGATACAAACTTCTGGTTCCTTCAGAATTGCACTCTCTTATTTGCATTTGCAGCTCTCAAAAGCACACTCCAGGAACAGAGGAAAATGCATGCTGTCAAGCTGAGCTTACACCCAGGATTTACTTTATGAGATCCTTACAAAACAGAATGTGAAGTGCTGTAAGAGTAGTTTGTGCAAGTATTGTAGTAGCATCTAAATGAAATGTGCACAGCTTTACCTCCACAAATATGGCCCAAATCTCCTATACCTCACAATTCAAAACCAAAATTATATTGACAACAAAAGATGGCCAGGAGCCTGAAACACTTCCAGGATAAAGTAATGCTCCCACTTCAGAAACAAGAATCCTCACATGTCCCCTCTCTTCAGAGAGTCTTGTGGCTGCTGTGCTCTTCCACAGACCTTCCTTTCCTTTGCATGTGGACAGACCAAAAAAGTGCTCCCACTCCTGTAGTCAATGGGAACAGCTCCAGTTGACTTCAGTCACATTGGTTCAGGCCCTTAATCTCCCTAAATGTGTTTCCATTCGAACAAGCAGCAGACATTGATATTACCAGCAAAAAGGGGGGTGACATGAATCTATTTCCAAACAAAAGAGATTTATGGGCCAGTTGGAGTTACAGCACATTTATTTTCTTTAAAGTTAATGAGCGGCATGATCCAATAATAATTGTATCTTATGCTTTTCATAAAGCTCTTAAGGCATTTCATAATCAATTAACAGCTCAAGCACGTCATCATTACGGGACATTTTGCAATAATCCATTAGGAATTAATGTAGAGTGAGCTTTCCATCATCACTAAACAAACTGCTACACAGCTAGGATCCACGCCAAGCAGACAGGCTCTGAATTTTCTAGTGCAGATTATGCATTCCCTGCAAGCATATCACCAGGACTTTGCATTTACCTCCTCCCCACCACCTGCAGGTTTCTTTATGTTCAGCCATCTCTCTGTACTCTGGTGACATTAATAAAATCCTGTGTTTCTGTGCTGCATTACCTTTAATTCAGGTATTCAGGACAAGATGGATCACAGAAACAGCAATATGGAGTAGTTACAATCCTGGATTGAAAATCAATCCCTAGAATGACTTCATGCATTTCTGAAACCTTTCTTAACAGCTCTGTGAGGAAGACTCACTACGAAACTTCTGTTGCCTCCTCTTAAATCACACACGCCCAGTCACAGAATGGTTTGGGTTGGAAGGGACCTTTACAGATCATTTAGTCCAGTCCCGCAGGTTGCAAGGGGTTTCCACCATCCACGTACCCTTGGACTTCCACAGAAATTGTGACAACAGGGATTTTAAACCCCAATCTAAAATCTTGCTACTCCTCCTGTTTTTTTCCTGTTAATAATTCCGGACTTATCCCCGCCTCCTCAGATCAAACACAGCAAAGAGGGAGAGAGCACCTGTGTAGGTTTCTACAGGCTGTTTTCAGACCTAGCAATTAAGTGCCTGGCTCTCACACGTATTTTAAGGCAGCAGTAATGCTATCAGGCTCCTTAGATTCCAGAGATGATGTCTGGATCTAAAATCCAAGCTTGCACCTAAACAGCTCCCTCGCCTGGCAATAGCAGGCTGTTCCCTCTCCACTAAGGTATTTGTGGCTTTCCACGCTCGTCTGCCCAGCAACAGTTTGTTGCTTCCTGTCTGCAGCAACAGTTTAATGTAAGCATCTTGCCCGAGATCATCATCAGCAACGTACGGTATGATTTACAAGAGGGGGAAAAAAAGCTGCTTCTTCAAAGATTAAAACTCCTTTAGATGTCTGACATCGGGCCCCCACACTGACAGCATCACACAGGATGTAACTTTTAAGCCGCTTAAGCGAGACATGTTTTTGTTTTACAAAGACAGCACACAGTCTATTATTAATCTTTTGCATGAGAGACATGGCAGTTTCCCCACTGTTATGCCAGACAATATGGTTTGATTGCTTCTGCCTCCTGTCAAGTCTCCAACTGGAAATGTGTAATATGAAATGAAGTGCAGCAAAACAGATAAGGATGTGCTGAGGTAGTTAAAACAGGCCCGGAGTAATTAAGGATTGGTATCCATCCTCGAAACAAAATAAGCCCACGGTTTGGATGGTTTGATTAATATTGCAGGATTGTAAGGCTACCGATGACACACACTCTGTACAAAGTGGAAAGAGAAAAAACATCTTAAAATGGGAAAGTTTAACACTAAATGGTGTGCACTGGGAACATTTATTTCAATGTTTTCAGGAAAGATTCTGCTCTGAGCAGAAACAGGAATAGAAAATGGTTCTTGCAGCAGCTCTAGCAGCAAGTTATATAGCAAGAGGCTACTCTGATCCTTTTGCTAACATGTACTGCCTTGTTATTATGTGCTTAGACCTGTGGCAAGCGTAGCAGTAATGAAGGAGACTGAATGCCAGTGCCCTAAAAAGCTAGCAGCAAATGACTACATAAAACATGAGGAATTCCTCCTGTGTGAGCCACACATTTTTACACAAAGCCAAGAGCTCCTTCTTTCCCTGCACCAAAAACATGATGAAGTACTGCCTAGGAGAGCAGTGCTGAACCATGAATTGCTCTTATTAATGCTGTATCAGCCAACTTCAAAAACAACCCTCTTTGCTCCAGAAGGTACCAGAATCCATACAATGGAGTGAAGCTTACTGCTGGTTATCTGATCCATAACTCCTGATCCTTTGAATCTCTTTTAGAGATTACATTTGCCCTCCGTACCCTACATCCTTACTGCAGCCAGCTGCAATTCCTTCACTGTCAAAGAGAGTCATTAATTCCTGAGCCTTTAATTCCATATTTACAAAGCAGTGAATTCTTCTCTTGGGAGAAGAAATACAGTCCATGCATGACTGTGAAGTTGCACCCATAGCTGTGGAGTGTATGTGGGAAAGGGTGGAAGTACAGATTCCCACTGGCTCCAAATGGGATACGTGACCAATAAGGGAAATAAAATCTCCTACAAAAAGATAAAGGAAAAATGAATGAAAGAATTCTCTCCAAAACATACATTGTTTCTCTTTCTTTTCCCTCCTGCTAATCATACCTCATCTTGTACGGAATCATCATCTCTCTTTCAGATGAGGGAGATAGTCATGCAGTGTAGCCGTGCTCATACTGGGAATATTCCTACTTCATTTCCCCAAGTGAACATATCCATTGAACCAACTCAC